GGTAGGTGGGGCATTGGTTAAACCTTGCGCCAAAACTGTGAATTCGTATAAGCCATCCTGAGTGACTATGGCCGTTTTTGGAATATCAGATTCGTGAATTGGTATTTGAAAATACCCTGACCTAAGATCGAGTTTGCTAAAAATCCGGTGGCCACCAACACGTTGAAGCAATTCCTCCGCACATGGCTGCGGATAACAGTCCCGTGTTGTAACAGAATTCAAACGGCGGAAATCCACCAAAAACCTGTAAGAACCGTCAGGTTTCTTCTTCAGTAAGGCGGGCGAAGACCACGGCGAATGCGATGGCCGGAGAATTCCTTGGTTTAGTAGTTTTCCAACTTCCTCTTGTAATTCTTTGCGCTGTTGAACTGTTTTGTAGTAGGGACGAACATTGACTGGTGGATGATCACCGGTGTTGATGGTATGATGGATTTTTGTAGTCGCTCTGGTCATTTTGGAAGTATCGAAAGATCGTTTGTTGTCGTGAAGGATTTTCAGGAAATCCTTACGATGCTGTTCGTCGTGGATATGAGCCACGAGTTCTTGTAAAATGTTGTCAACGATTGGTGTTGATGGTAATTGTGGAGGTTCATTTACTTCTATTGCATTAATTGCTACACATGGTGTTGCACTATTTGATGGCTTTGATGTTTCAAATACATTGTACATTATTTCAGTGTTTGATTGATAATATATTGAGCCTAACTTTAACTTAGAATCTAACGTGTGAACATTTGTAGTAGGATTAAAAATCGTAATGTAAAATGAAAAATCTTTTATTTCAACAAAAGCATCAGGTATCTCAATTTTTAACTTTGAACATTTTTTAAAATCAGGTAAAAAAATAGCAAGCATTGCAGAAGATATTGGGGTCTGCATTTTGACAATGTGTTCGTGATATGGTAGTAATGCTACACGTTCATCGAGACAAGCATCGACCGATCCATCGTTGATAAATGGAGTTGTTGTATTTCCATATTGTGGATGAGTGATTTCAATTTGATTCTGATGTATATTCACCTTTACATTGTTTAATTTACACCAATCCATTCCTAGAATGATATTCGCACCCAAGGATTCAACGATAAGAGCTTTAATACATGTGGTGATATTATTGATGGTTATTGCTAGTTCTACTAATCCATTGATTGATATTTGTGTTCGACCATCGCCAAGTGTTGCTGTTGTATCAGTTGGTTGAATTGATGAATGTGGAATGGTATTCAGTTCAGATCGTGAGATCAATGATGTTGTTGCACCTGTATCTACCATTGCATATGTTGATTTACCATTGATTACAGTATTAATTATAATAAGTGATGGATGAAATTGTGGAACGGAAATACGACCATCACGTATTTCCCCTAATAGTTTTTTGAACATTGATATTGATAGTGGTCCATTCCACCGCATGACCAGCAACCATCATATTCTTTTCCATTGCTGTTGTGTTGTTTCTGATCATACGAAGGCTGATAATTTTTAGACGTTTGTTGTTGAAGTACGGGACTATATGTTTGAGATGATGGCTTCGTCGAAGTGTACTGTCGTTGATCGGATGATGTTTGGGTGCGTTGTTGATTTTGTTCTTCCATTTGCCATTTATCGAACTTAATAAGTGCTTCAAGAAATTCTTCTGTGTTGCTTGGCTTTTTCAAATCCATGTGTAAGCGAGCATTTGGATTAAGACCTTGAATAAGATGTTTAATTCGTTTCTCTTCGCTCATATCTTTGTTAACCTTCGAACATAATTTTAATACATTGTGGCAATAATCAATTGCTGATTCATAATGTTGACGACGACGATTGTAAAGCTTTTGTTCTAATTGAAATTGATCAGTACCGGTGACAAGTTGAAAATAAATTGTTAATTTGTCCGTAAAAGTTTTCCAATTATCAATTCCTTCTTTATGAGTGTCGTACCATAACTTTGCATTACCTTTAAGAAGATCAACAGCCACTGATAACCGGCGCGTATCATCGAAATGAAGTTTATCACACTTAGCATTAAATTCTTCAAGCCAATCAGTGACTTCTTGCACCATTGTCCCTGAGAATGGAGTGGAATTTAAAAGTTGATCAATTCGTTTGGATTGTAGTTGTTTAGCAGCTTGTTGTTGAAGACTGAATTTTTCTTTGAAAAATTCTGGTGTTGCATCAGTTGATGGGTTTGATATTGAGTCATGCTGTGGAGGTAGATTTATGTGTAACGTTTCAACGGCTTCAGAGAGGCTGTTGATGGTGACTTGTTGAATTTCTACCTGGCTTTTCAATTTTCTATTTTCTTCAAGCAATTGATCTTGTTTTTGCAGAAGTTGTTGCAACATGCTCATGACGTCATTGGGCTGTTGTTGGTGTTGTGTTGTTTGATTATGCGCAGCATTAGTTGATGAAGCTGAATTGATTTGTACTTTCTGTTCATTTACTGTTAAATCGGCGGTTTCTTTTGTCATACTTCGAATGTAGTAGCTTCAGTAATATAATGTATACACGAGTCCGAATTGTTTACTGTGTTGTTGAATTGTCAGTAGACTTGGCCGGTGCACCAGTTGTTAACTCTTATTACGATGTAGTTAAGAGACAAACTTCTGATTT